AATCACAATTTTACTTTGAGTTTCATGCTACAACATAGAAAAAAACCACATAGGACGTTTTGACAAGTCAAGTTGTACATCGGACATATTACATTGGACGATTTTTCTCACTGACATAATCAATGAGTGTTACATTTGACGTTTTGTCTACATGATACTAGATTCCCTTTCACAGATTTCAGAGTATAGTACCTAACTTTAGATTGGCCCCGCCGAAGTAACAATCATATACCCATCATTTCAAACTGTACATCGGACAATTTTTGATTTTTTTTTTTTTTTTTTAATTGGATAATGATTATCTCAAATGAATGAAAGTAAATTTGGATGGATGTTTTTGTATCACATACAATGATAGAAGAGTAATAGTTTGTATAGCTTAACTCGATTTGTTTTCATTTGTTACATTGGTCTATTTTAAAAGTGACGCGAGAAATATATTGAATTTCACGTGAAAGAAATATCGAATTTTTTTGAAGCACCTGCTGTAAGGTGACAATAAAAATAAAATTTGTACATAGCTGATCGGACAAAGGCCAGTGGAAAAGCAAGTTTTGTGTCAAAATTTCAGCTCAATTGATCATAACAGAACACATTTACAACATGTTAAACTTGGTTAATTTTTAAGTGTAGACTTGTGTGTATGTAATGAGAAGTCACCACCAACGTTGTTGCAGCAAAGTACACTTCTGCGTTGAAAATAATCCCTTAAAATATTGTTCACTCAAGCCAGACAAAATACAAATATTAATCTTCAGAGTTCTATGATTACTAGCGTGTTGATATGATCGGTCAAGTCAGACCGAACTGTGGCATTTTTTTTTTTTTTGATTTCGAGAAAAACGAATTTAAAGTTGGCTGTTCTATATTGTGTCTTATGTAATGGGAAAAATCATTTGACCGTTTTCTCTTGCTACTCTAATTTTTCAAATCTGGCTGAAGAAGTGAAATGTAACTGAGGGAATTCTTGATCTTATGATATCATTAACTCATTTTCTGTTTTTACTTTGCTACTTAGTCCCTTCTGACTTAACGCCGACTATATTATCTTGTATAGTAAAATGTAGTGCTGTTTTACATTCAAAATCATCTATTTTTATTTTTAGCTGGTCTGGTCTGAGTATTCTGAGGGATTTTGAGTATAATTTGGTGCTGCGCATTTGCATTAGCATGTTTTTTTTTCCACCAAATAGGCTGAAAGCTTTAGAGACTTCCAAAAAATGTATTTTAGAAGATTTCCGCATAAGGACTTGTTGAAGGACACATAGTTCCACAGATATTCCGGTATTATTTGGGGTGCTAACACGCTAACGGTATCCCAACTACCGTAAGGTTGCCATCCACCGCTCACGAAGTCTTCCTTTACCTTCCTTTAGCATCCTTTCGGCAAGCAATTGCCTCTTTCCAGGAGCATGAGTGGTGATCTTACGGTGATTCCAGTATATCGAGTCAGCTTGAATCTATACTAGAAGATATTTCTGGAACCATCTAAAAACTTCACCCCATTTCAAAAGCCACTTGTGAAAAGGGCACACAATTATTCTGTGAACAAACCCTTGCAGTCCCTTCTCTCGTCACCCGACAACATCACATATGATGGGACCGCGAGAGTCAAGGCATGCGAAACAGCGCACAGCGATGGCGCCCTGATAGAGCGCATTGAGATGTTTCAATGAAACAGTCGCATGTGATTGAATACATGCGTAGCATTAAGAGAGCAATGCGATGAGACAAAACAACATTGAAACGCTTGAATTTGTTGAGAGCGTGTAGCTTGTCGCGCGCATCGTTCTGGTCTCTCTTTTGTGCAATTAATGTACTGCCGTTCTACGCATATCAGTCCCATGTGTCAAAAGATGCTTCTGAGAAAATCGCGAATAATGTTTCGAATCATTTCTGCTCATTGGAAGAAATATACGTTAAAATAAGTTACCGCATTGTTCACATTTCAACAGAATCAATATGTTTTAGTGAAAACTACAGAAATTACCTTCAATCAGTTAAGCCTATTTTTATACAAACAATATTTAATGGGACTGTTATGCCTAGAAATTTGCAATGAAGTAAGATATTCTACGCATGTTAGTCCCACTAGAGACTGTTACTTTCAGTGTTGCTTTGATGGCCACGATGCGTTTGACGTCTTTACTCTTGTGCTGGCATGAGCGTGCTTGCGTTCTCCGCGAAGTTTTGGAAGATCCTGGATAGTTTGTATAGCTTTCCATCAATAAAATAATACCAACATTAATTTGTTGACATTGCTACTTCTATAAAACTATTAAAAGTATGGGCATTGCAAGAAACTAATGATGAATGCACAATTTAGAACATAAACTTCTTGACATCTTGTTCTACTTCTTAGCAAAATGAACGTAGGCCTAAAGGAGATTGTGCTTAATCATGTTGAGTCCAACCATAGATTTATGGCGGCTGACATGATGATTTCAAGAAATACTTTGGATGAGTTGACATGCACATGCAAATTTCTTCCGTACAGAGTTGACCTTTATGCTGCGTATTATCATATTATAAAAGGGGCTTTTCATGCAACACGTAGACATAATAGGGGGAGTGTGGGGGTGGCGATTGTCTACGTAAGTGTCTAATAATGCAGTGTTTGAAATTAGAAACTGGTGTTTTAATATGAAATCCCGTTTTTCCTAATATTTATCAACATAAAATAAAATTTCCACTTCCTAAAATGGTTCATACCGTTTCTTTTGATTATATAAATCCTGTTTCAATAATTTGTGTACACAAATCGATTCGTTAATGATAGATTCAGTCAAGAAAATCTTTGTGGGACAATTATGCGTAGAATTTCAACATGGGACAATTAGGCTTGATATTGTTTTTATACAAACCCAGAACAAATTATATGTTTTTCTATTTTCATTCCAAAGTCTAGCTAAAAAAGTACTGTTTTATGAACAAACCGTGAAGAACGTCCAAAAGTAACATGGGACAGATATGCGTAGAACGGCAGTGTAGCACACCATGGATTTGAGAGTCATGCGACGCTCCGTCTCACAGCTCGCTGTCGCATTTGTGTACGCGTGAGATTTCCGGAAGTCATTATTACCTGGGTTTGGTCCAATAAGCTAATATTTCCTTTGCTTGCACCAAAGAATTCACAAACTTGTGTAATCCCATTTTCAAGTGCTTAGTTTGCTATCCTCACTTTCACTCTAGACAAAAATGTTGGTTTGTTATTATTATCCTCACTTTCGGACCATCAATACTCTTGCATATAGAATTGACTATACGCTTGTTTACGTTGGTACCCCAAGAAATTCTTTCTTTTATAATATTCAATTAAATGTGGTCGTGACGGTAAGGAGCAATGAGCACAGCCCAACAAACAATTTTAGCTGCAGATTAGCTTATACTGCCAAAATTTGCCTTATGCAGCTAATTTTTGCCTGTATAAGCTGAGCTGCAGCTTAAATTGTTAGTTGGGAGGAGAGAGCTAGAGAAATCCTTCAAATGTTGCTGTATTCGTAAATATCGGAAACGCAAATAGTGACGTCATTGTAGGGAGCGATGCTGATGTTGATGTTATGTTCGATAAATTTATCACGCAGTCTGGGGTGAGAGTAAAAATATTTAACACTTATTTTTGAAGATCAAAAAAATCGAAAGAAGAGATCGATTTTTTCGATCTTTTCGTGGACAATAATCGATCCAAAAAATCGGAAATCGGGATGAAAAAGATCGATCTTCCAAAGATCGATACAAGATCGCCCAATCCTAAATACGACATGCACTAAAATAAAGACACGGGATGTACTACAGTAGAGCAAATTACTGGTCGCAGTAGTAGCATAGAGGTAACTCTAAGACTAGTAGGTCCCGAAGACACGTACTCAACTTTTTGCCTCAGCTCTGGTACTATCTTCGGTCCCAAGCTAATCGATTAACCCCTCGAAACATAGGGAAATCCACTAACCCCTCATTTTATCTGTTAAACTTTTATAGCGAATCAAAACAAACATTGTGTAGTACTAGAATTTTGACTAGAAATGGTACGTTAATCGTTTGCTTGGGACCAATAGGCTAGTCAAGTAGTGAGCCAATTTAAAATCGTTAGTTTCGTATTGATTGTTGGTATTAGTGTTATGTCCCGAACAGTGGAAAAAAAGCCAGGGCTCATACTGTGGGCACAGCCTGACAACGCATGCGTGTTCTACTTTGAATGCTGGCTACAATACCGATACGACATGCCAGGCTCTGAGCCCTGAGCTGAGCTAGGGGCTGGGGGTAGTTACCACTGTCCACCTCTGGCTACGCCTGAGGCTAAGCTTTAACGTTGTTTGCATTGATGAGTAACAATTCACAATGAAAATGAAGTAAAAATTTATCGATCCTTGCCATGATTTAAAATTTTGAGATTAATCCATTTTTTGCGTGATCACAGTGAGTTCCGATCTTACTATATTATTTGCTTCAATGAAAACCAAGTTTTATCAACTGAGCAAAACGTCAGTAGCAAATAGACAACTTTTCTAGTCAAGCTGTGCATGCCAAATAAGCCAATAAGTAATTGCAAGCAAACTAATCGTATGTATGTTAACATGTAACTCAATTTCTATTATATTTTTTGCTCACTCAGACAAACTAATCAACGTTTACAACACGATCACAAGCACTGACTATCAACTGCACCCTATCGAGTGATGTAATTAACGATCACCGTCGACGTTGCACCTTGGCCATGTGCTTATGCATCGACACCAGCAGATCGCGGTAATTTTAAATTGCTACCCGTACGATTGCATGGAGTGCACATGTTAAGCTTACTCTACTAGAAACTGAATCACTAATCGATGCAACTAAACGTAAATCGCTGCAGTGAAGGGCGCCTACCACTAGCACTAGGTACTGTTGTTATCATTTACTGTGGAATTCCTCAGGGCATAACACTAATTAGCTTGACATGCGTATTAGCTACAACAATAATAGGGATTATGCTTATCACAATTTCGAAATTTCCCACTCACCACGTCCTCCTCGTCATCATTGTAGTTTACGTTCAGAAGCATGAACTTCCAATACTGCACGCAGTCTGGAATCGAGTAGCAACTATTCTTGCGCGGATTACCACGAGACGTTGAATTGATACTGCTACCATCTTCTTCATAGTCTTCTGATTCTGCACAACTTTCACAGAATTCCAACTCTTCGTCGTCATCAACGAATGATGACACACTAGAATCCACTGATTCATCGCATTTGCGGTAGTCGAAAATGTAATCACGGCGATAATTGTACACTATTCTATTGATCTTTGGTTCAGCTGGACTGTACATTATGCACACATTTTTGTATCGGTCTAAAGGGTGACGAATGTTTCGATTCGGGACCGGAGGAGGTTTCTGACCCAACGTGCGGCGATTGCTCTTGGAGAAGGCAAAGTCATCGACAACTTCCCACTCGTTCTCGTCTCGCGCGGGTTCTAACCGAATAGATTCGTAAATGTTTTCTTGAGGAGATTCGTAGACCGGTTCCGTGCCTTCGGTTTTGCAAGTCCATATTTGCTGGTAAATATTCTCATCCAGTGATGTTCCACAATCGGAGTGCACTCCACTGGTAGAACTACTGCAGCTGATCTCGTTGGATGAGTTGCTCTGTAGTTCGGGGCTTATGAACTCACCTCTCCGCCGGCGCCGTCGCTTTAGCGCCACAAGATTAATCATAGCTTTGTTATTCTCTAGGAATTGGAAATAGCTATCAATTTCGACGGATTCTTGCAAGGCGCTTGCGGAATTGTGGAACTCGTTCGTCATTATGTTAAGATACGTTTTACGCTTGTTCAACAGCAGCTTTTGCTTACGCACTACTTCACCGACGGTGGCAACTAGTAAGAATGCCTTTAGCCGACGTTCGTATGTTATCACCACTCGACACAAACTAACATCCAGTAAATATTTTTGCATCAGTATGTGCTTTCTGCTGAGTTTGGAGCTACGATGTTGTTTGTTGTGCGATAACCGTGTGTTCGAGTCGCTATCTAGCTCGTTTACCTGTGCGCGATATGGTCTTATCACGTCATTTGCATGGCCATTTGTAGCAGCAACGCTGTTTTGACGTGGGCCTTCCTTTTCCCGATTTAGCACTGCTTCGAAAATATTCAACAGACCAGACACAAATTCGGATTTGTCCCCCTCCCCTGCACTGCCCGGAGTCAGCGTTCCATCAGATCGTTCATCTTCTTTGCTGTTTTCAAACTCAGAATTGCAGAAACTTATCACTACGGGATCCAACGTTTCAGTTTGGTCTTCTTCTACCTTCTCCCGTTTCTGATTATTTATAACATTTTGCCGAATCTCTTCAACTTTATAACTCAAATCACTCGCACAATAACTCTTCCCTCGAAACTTCCAACCGTTCCCACAATCGGCACTAATATCGTTAAACGTAACGGATGGAATGCTTTTCACATGATAGGTCACTTCACCGGCATCGTAATCTTCAGTCTGTACCAACAATGACATCATCCACTCTTTCACGGGAATCACATCACCGCTGGCGCCACCACCGACGAGCCCTCGTACTAGTCGCTTTCGATCAACGACCGCCGACGCCGCACTGGAAGGGCTCAAGTTCTCATAAATGGTTTCACTTTTCCTTGATTCGGAAAAATCGATCAAATTTTCACTGACACTTCTTCTCACTTTCAACGACGGTGTGGCTTTCTCTTCCGTTGCTGGCGGAATTTCTGTGGCCGTTGCTGCTGCTGTCGCTACTGCCAATGTACTGGCGGATGACTGGGTAATGTGTTTTACCACCCCAGCCAACGTCAGCTGGTCGTCACTTTTGTGCAACACGCGATCGACTGATCGCTTTTTTTTTTGTTTTGTTCGATGGAAAAAAGGAGGAATATGGATTATTAAATAACGCTGATTACAACCGGCATGGAAAACTCGACCACTTGTTTGGTTTGGTTGATCTGATATATGCTTTTCGTTGGGAGGTACCCGGTAATAATGGGGTGGGTGTTGTGGATGTTGATCCAAAACAATATCTGAGAATAATCAATTATATGTGTGTTTTTTGAATGCAGTGCTTGACAACCCTTGGGTTACTTGGAAGTAATATTGAAAGTTTTATTGAAGCTTTGGTGGTTCACGGGAACCCTCAGAAAACTCAAATTGTTACTGGAAGCGAAATCTACCACGAATATGAAGCTTTTAGAAATCGGAGCCAAAGTTGATATGAAGCATGCATTTTTACCAAATACGGAAACTTGTTTAGAATTATGTCGATTGATTGACCAATTTAACATAGAGTAGAATAACGTAGAGCTTCAGACCCAAAAGCTTTAATTTTTCCACGTGACGTAATTCCTTTTTATGTAAATCGTGGAACACAAACAAACTGCAAAATTAAATGTCCTGAAACCGAAACAAAGCGCAACTCGACAAAAAGTGCGTTTGATCAATTTGATTTTCTCGTCTCTTTCAACTTATTGTTATGTCATAAGGGCCACTTGCATGTGTCGGTCTCAGGGCACCGACATTTACATGACTTTTTCGAAGTGTGTAGGTACATGTGGTAAAAGTGTTTTCAATGTTCCCATTGTAACTTGTTCGGCTTTTTAAAAAAAATTGACCTACTGGAACATACACACTACGAAGAAGTCATGTAAATTGTGGTGCCCTGAGTCAAACTGACACATGCAAGCGGCTCTTATGACATTAAGGGTCACACACATTAGATCTGTTTGAATTGCGTTGACGTTGACAGTTAACAAAAGATTTAGCTGTAACTTTGCCATAAAGCCTCAGATCCGGATCTAATAAACTTTTAATCGAGTTGCGTATGTTTCGGTTTCGGAACACTAAATTTAACATTTAACATGTTTGTTTACGTTCCATTGTTTAAGTCAAAGATGGAGTACGTCTCGTGTAAAAATAGTTTTTTTTTAATCCTTTAAATTTGTCAAACCTCTTAACGGAATCTCTTTATGAAGAGCTTTGAGTGGGTGGGTTTATTTCCCACCAGGTACCTAAATTCAGTCTCCAAAAAGTAGAGGCATGCTACGATGTGTGGTTTTAGGTAGCATCTTTAGCATGCCTCGAGTATCCGTTTCCTTGATCTCTATTAAGCAATGTTGATGGATTATGTTTAAATATTTCTAAACTTTCAGCTACGTCTAATTCCAAGGCAAAGATACACTCCGCAGGATATTAATGTTATCTTTTGTCAAATTGTTTCCCTTTTTAACGATATGTTATGCAACCTTTGATTTACATTCATAATGAAGTCCTTTATCCATCTCTTTGTTAGCATTTCTTACCTCTGCGATGTGTTCCTTAAACCTTGTTTCCAAAGTCCTTTTCGTCTGACCAATGTAGATTTTATTGCAATCTGGACAAGAGATTTTGTAGACTTCAGCTTTCCCTAACCCATTTATTGAATCTTTTGTTGATCCTAACAGTGACTTCTGCTGATTTGTCCTGCTGCTGAATACTAAATCTAGGCCGAAACTTCTAAACTTCGCTATTGTTTGGTAATGTTTTTATCAAAATTCACAGCTACACGTTTTAAACCCTCAGTTACTGGTGTAAGAGTTGTCTAAATACGCCTAAAATGATCCCTTGTTCTATTATCGATAACTGCTTGAATTCTTGATACCCATTAAGTCTAGCGATTTCAAAATGTGAGCTATTTCCTTTGATTTGCCTGTATCGCTAAGAAAAAGAGTTCGCATCTTGTGAACCATGTGATGAAAAGCGGCCATTTTGTGTTGATGGGAATGGTTTGAAGTGCTTGGTATTACCATAGAGGTAACTCTAAGACTAGCAGGTCCCGAAGAAACGTGCTCAACTTTTCGGCTCAGCTCTGGTACTCTCTTCGGTCCCAAGCTAATCGATGCACAGCTCGAAACATAGGAAAATCCAAGAACCCCTCATTTTATCTGTCAAACTTTCATAGAAAATCAAAACAAACATAGTGTAGTACTAGAATTTCGACTAGAATGGGGTACGTTAATCGATTTGCTTGGGCCCAATAAGCTAGTCAAGTAGTGAGCCAATTTAAAATCGTTAGTATCCACCGGCTGGTATTACTCTCTTTGTGTTTGTTGGTTTCCTATAGATTTCGAAATTGAACGATGATGAGAAGATCTAAGAAGGGGAGTTTGCCGTCTCTCTCTTCTTCGTAGGTAAATTTGATGTCCTTTCTTTCTTCTTCTTTATTGGGAGCAGGGAAAAGCCCATTTGAGTGGAGCTTATAAAAGCTTTTTTTTTCTCAAATGGGCATAAAACCTCCTCATCTTTTCGCATCAACAGAACAGTACATCCCAAATGATACATTATTAACTTAAGACTAAAAGGCTCATTATAGCCATAATTAGTACGAAATGTCGATATACGCATAAATTGATGACAACGGAGAGTACGGCGACGAATATCAAAATTCAACTCACGTAACACTGTAGGACAATCTATGTGAGATTGAACAACATCAGATATGAAACAAGCCTTAGTGACATTCCTACGAACCTCCAGAAGGTCAAGGTCAATTAATTTACAACGATCTTCATATCTAGGGAGATTAAATGGATCATTCCAAGGCAAAGAGCAAAGCGAATAAACTTATGTTGGATAGATTCTACTTGCTGTACGCTGTTCTGATAGTAAGGAGCCCAAACCACAACTGCATACTCCAATGTAGAGCGAAATAAAGAACAATACAGGGTCTTCAAATAGTGAATATCCGAGAATTCTTTTGCAACTCGAAAAATAAAGCCCAGGCATTTAGAAACTTTGGAGGTTATATATATATATCCTACATGATCTTTAAAAGTAAGTTTCGAATCTAAGAGAACACCCAAATCCTTAACAGTAGAGTCTCTCTTTAGAGATATTCCGGCAATGGTGTAATCAAATGAAATGACAGAACGTTTACGTCCAAAGGAAATTACTGAGCATTTGTTGGCATTCAAGCTCATACGATTAGTTGCGAACCATTTGGAAAAAAGGTTGAGTTCTTTCTGAAGGAAATGTGCATCTTCTTCACAGGTTATTACATAATAGAGTTTGAAGTCATCGGCATACGAGAGCTTAAAACATTTGAGCACTAGGTTGACGTCATTCAGGTACAGCAAGAATAAGAATGGTCCAATATGACTGCCCTATGGAACACCAGATTTTGGGTTACAAAATGGTGAGTTGACAACCTGGAAGGAGCGGAATACCTAGCCCTGGTCCTCACAAGTTCCTACTTCACGCCTCCCCGAGTCATATGATAACAAAAGACTACCAGCTAAAACATGGACACAGCTGGGTGGCGTAGCCTGGGCAATGTTGCCAGTCCGGCAATAGCAAAGTGAAGAGGTGCGACGCGAACACTGGCGTGGTAACCATAGTACGGTGATAGAGGAAATGCTTCACAAAACCCGAGCGTCTGTTCACCATGGAGGTGCGGCTCAAAACGGTGTCTGTTCTCCATATTAGGAGCGGCTGATCACCGTCCTAGTGCCAGTGTGGGACTCTAAACAGAGCTGTGCACGATGGTCCCTCGGCGAGACAGGGGGTTGGGGCAGGCCCAACAAGCCGCCTTGGAAAAAAAACATAAAGTTGCAAATACTGAAGAAAGAAATACGAATCGGAACAATCGGCACAGACCTACACGACGAAATAAGGACTACGATTGGAAACTCGGAACATGGAACTGCAAATCGCTCGGCTTTCCGGGCTGCGATAGGTTAATCTATGACGAACTTCAACCACGCAACTTCGAAGTCGTAGCACTGCAGGAACTTTGCTGGACGGGACAAAAGGTATGGAAAAGCGGGCATCGAGCGGCTACTTTCTCTACCAGAGCTGTGGCACCACCAACGAGCTGGGAACCGGCTTTGTAGTGCTGGGTAAGATGCGCCAACGCGTGATTGATTGGCAGCCGATCAACGCGAGGATGTGCAAGTTGAGGATTAAGGGCCGTTTCTTCAACTACAGCATCATCAACGTGCACTGCCCACACGAAGGGAGACCCGACGACGAGAAAGAAGCGTTCTATGCGCAGCTGGAGCAGGTGTACGACGGCTGTTCGCAACGGGACGTCAAAATCGTCATCGGCGACATAAACGCTCAGGTAGGACGGGAGGCAATGTATAGACCGGCAATCGGGCCAAACAGCTTGCATGTCGTATCGAACGACAACGCAACGGGCAACGATGCGTGAACTTTGCAGCCTCTCGGCGTATGGTAGTTCGAAGTACCTTTTTCCCCCGCAAGGATATCCACAAAGCCACCTGGAGATCACCTGACCAACACACAGAAAACCAAATCGATCACGTTCTAATCGACGGGAAATTCTTCTCCGACATTATCAACGTCCGCACGTACCGCAGTGCGAACATAGATTGCAGTATGCATGCGAACATAGTTGCAGTATGCATGCGCTCAAAACTCTCGACGGTTCATAACACCCGTCAAAGTCGAACCCCGCGACCCAACATTGAGCAACTACGGGACGCTGGAGTTGCCCAGAACTACGCGCAGCAGCTGGAAGTTGCACTACCCACGGAAGAGCAGCTTGGCGCAGCTTCTCTTGAAGATGGCTCAAATTCTATGCCGCCGTCTGTCACCATTTGCAAGAGAGTTCGTGGGGCAATACCAGGCGGAATTCATGGGTGCCCGCGCTACCACGGACCAAATTTTCACGATTCGGCAGGTTCTGCAGAAATGCCGCGAATACAACGTGCCCACACATCATTTGTTCATCGATTTCAAATCCGCATACGACACAATCGATCGAGATCAGCTATGGCAGATTATGCACGAGTACGGATTTCCGGATAATCTGACGTGATTGGTCAAGGCAACGATGGATCGAG